CACAGGAGGACGAATAACTAAACTGTGTATGTCCCTACCATGCGATTCCCTTCGGCCGTGGGAAAGCACTGATCTCCGATCTGCTACAAGACAGGAGGAAATGGGGCTTAGCCAAAAGCTGGAGCAACTGCAACGCACACGCACAGGACGAATAACTAAACTGTGTATGTTCCTACCATGCGACTCCCTTCGGCCGTGGGAAAGCACTGATCTCCGATCTGCTACAAGACAGGAGGAAATGGGGCTGAGCCAGGGAAGCGGACACAGAGAGAGTAACCAACGCACAGTCCCACTTACACCAGGTCCTGGAACAGGCACAACTGATTTGTGGTGAAAGAAACCGGAGCAGGGTGCGGCTTGGGGGCAGGGACCGGCTGGGAAGGGAAGAGCCCGTCCTGGGGTGAGACGCTCTGTGCTGACCAGGGGCTCCGTGGCGAAGGCACTTGTCCAAACTCACGGCGCGGCGCCCTTGAGATCCACACATTTCACTGTGTGCACGTCATGCCTCAGTAAAAAAACCTAAAGTTTATATTGTTATTTCATACCATGCCCCAAATAAATTCCACTTGAATTCAGAGCTAAACTTAAAATTAAAATAACAGAACCAGTGCTGAAGAATATTTTTATAATTTGGGGGTAGAGAAGATCTTCCTAAACATAATATCCAATCAGAAGTCACAAGACGGGCTGCAGGACGGCCGCGGAGCCAGGCGGAGCTGTCCTGTGGCTCCCAGGGCCGCCTCTTTGGCCCGAGACGTGGCCAGGGGGTCCCGGCCGGCTAGGCCGGCCTCGACCTGACAGTCGCCATGCCCGAGAGACGGAATTGACTCATGTTCTGGGCCCACGACCCCTGCTCCAGTCGAGTGACCGAGGCGGATTATGCCAACTCGGATCCGGCAGTCGTGAGGTCTGGACGGGTCAAGAAAACAGTCACCGACACTGTTCGGCAGGAAGTAACATCTCTCTGTGGCTTGGAAGCCTCCCAGCCTCCTGCTGAGGAAGCTCTCTCTGGGTCTGGCGAGCCCTGTGACAGGAGACAGCAGCGACGAGACGGACACCCAGCAGGAAAGCCTTCGTGAGGGAGCTGAGCTGTGTCCAGTACAAAACAAAAGCAAGAGGCACAAAGAAGACCCGGACGGGGCTGGAGGAGACAGGTGTCCCGTGGATATTTGGCTCCTACGTCCATCCTGAGGACATCGTGAATTTTCCCGACTTGTAAGAATGCCTGGACTGTCACTTGCACTGCTGCCTTTTGGACCAGGTGGTACCCAAGGCACCGCACGCTGGATGCTTCTCTGCCTTAATGCCTACGAGCAGAGTCGGTGGAGAAGCTGCACCGTCTTGGGTGCGTGTGACCTGCTCTCTACCATACGTGTGAGCCGCTTGCTGCTCAAAACTCCAAGCCTCCGGCCGTTCCAGAAAGCACTCCCAGCACATTAAAGAATTCCAGATGCTTACTTTTCTGGTGCAGAAAGTTGTTGGGAACAGACAGGAACTAACATGAGAATTCAACTTCAAGTCCAAAAACAGTCCCTTAGGTTAAAGAGCAAGCGTTTGGGGGGAGTGCAGCCTCCTTCCCGGGATGAAGACACTCACAGCAGCACAGACCGGCCTGCTGCCTCCGCAGGTCACCACCGCTGACTTCACCTTCATTCCAGTCATCACAGGAATGATATGTACCCTGTTTGCTATTGATGTGAGCACAGACATGCGGCATCATCGGGTAAGACTGGTGTTCCAAGATTCTCCTGTCCGTGGCTGCTGGAAACTGCATGGTGAGCAGGGTGTGCAGGTCATCCCGGACCCGGTGCGCCACACTCGACGGACTGGTGGCATCCTCAGTGCCCACTCTCCCTGAGAGCGTAACTGCTGCTTCCAATCCCTTGGGGCAGCCCTGAGTCTCGTCCTTGAGTAATCAGATTCCAGTTTGGAGGGGCAGCTTGACTGTGTATCTGGTTAGTAATGCACACGCTCTCCAGGTTCCTGGGGCTCCTGTTACTGGAGGGAGAAGGGATGAACCAAAAGGAAAAACAACTATGATTTGTAAACATATTCTAATGTAAAAATTTGCATTTGAAAAGAGAAACATGGCCCTGTTTTCTGTGTTAAAACCCCATTTGGTGCTATTAAAAAAAAAGTTACAAGACAGATTTTGCCACATAAAAAATGTAAATTTGGCACGAGTATAAAACTACAATATATAAAGAGCTCACACAAATCAGTAAGAATATAAACAGCACAACAGAATTCTGCACACGGTTGATTCACACAGGAGGGAAGGCATCCTGTAGCAAATATAAAAAGAGATGCTCGATTTTGCCAACCATCAAAGAAGTGCAGAATAACACATACACACACACACACACACACGTGCAATTCTCACTCAAGACAGCCAGAAAAAGCAAGAGGTATGATGGTGTTCACAGAGAGAGGTGTAGGAAACGCATGCATCCTGCTGCTGGAGGGAAACTGGCCCACCTTTGTGTGTGGCACCTTGGTAACAAATCCCTAAGTTACAACATGGGCCATTTGATCCCTTCCCTAGGAAGACAATGGCACGAGTGGAAAAAGACGGTGTACAGGACTCTTCTCTCCAGTGCTGCTTCTATAGTGCGGAACTGGAAATCTCCACATGTGCAGCAGCAAGGGCTCGAGCTACAGACGGCCACTGGATGGAGCACGCTGCACCTGCTAAGGCCCACTGTAAACCTGACAGGAGCATGCCAGACACACCCTTGAGTGAGCGCGGCAGGGTGAGGTTGTGGGGTACTCCCCAAGAAGAAGGCAGGGGAGGCCGAGAAGGGGGGTTTCTGGTGGGTCTGATTTTCCTCTCCCAGTTCTTATGCATTGAGGTTTAGCAATAAACAAGAGTGACTTTAATAGAAATAACTGCAACCTAGGTGTGACCGGGTAGCCTCTGCTTACATGCCAGCCACGTTTTGGTGGCTGCCCCTATGTGGGGAGGGCCTCAGTCCACCCAGCCTCAGAAGACCCCGTGGGGGCGTGCACGTGGGAGGATAGACATCTGGAGACCCCAGGCCCTGCCCAGCTGCCACTGCACTCAGGCCACACTGAGCCAGGAGAAGGGGCTGCAGAGGGTGGGGCACTGCCTCATGGGGGTCCCTCCCGACTCACTCCCAGGACCAACAGAGCCCGGCCTGGTGGCTGAGCCCCATCCCAACCTGAGGGCACGCCGCCAAGTTCCCCAAGTTGAAGGAGCTCTGGGACAGGGGCCCTGGGTCCCCTGAATCTGCCCTGGGTCCACCTGGAGCCCCACTCACCATGGGCGTCTCTGGCAGGCAGACCCCTCACCAAGCTTGGGGGGCCTCCACACCTGCCCCCTAAGCGTTTCTCTTGACCCCAGCCTGGACCAGGACAGGGACGCTGGGGGCTCTTAGCACAGTGGGCTGAGAACTTTTTGGAAATGATAAGCCTGTGTTCATAGCCTTGCCCAGTCGAGGGCTCTGGGGGGCTACAGGACCTTGGGAATGGGCCTGTATGGGATTTATATAGAACCTCAGGTTTTAGGTTCTTATTTATCCAAAGAGAAAAAGGAAGAGGGAGAAAGAGGTGGAGCCCCCTGCCCCGGTGCCCACCCAGTCCCAGCGAGGCTCTCACCTGCCTGGCACACCTGGCACACCTGGCCCTTGGCCTCCTTCCGAAACCTGCATCACTTGTACGTTTCTGCAGACACAGCCCCTGTGGGCTGGAGACCCCACAAGGCCTCTTCCTCCCAAGCCCCCCACCGTGTTTGATTCAGGAACAGCCACAGCCAGGACCGAGGTGGTCACTATGAGCTGTCCAGGACCAGGGGAGACACAGGAGCCTCAGTCCTGGGGCAGGCACTCGTAAACGGTCGGAACCTGCTGTGATGGGGCCTCATGGGGAGGTCCTTCATCCCACCAGCCCTGTGGCCACCCCGGCGGGCCTTCTCGACACCCTAAAGGTTTGTGACTTGCCTGGATCCTGGCTCAGTAAATACCTGCTTGTTCGCCCAGGATCTGACCTCGTGCACAGGACAGAGCAGGCAGATGTGGAGATGCAGAACATGCCAGCTGCTTGCCCAGCTGCGTGGTCCTGAGAGGTGGTGGGGCTGTGCCAGGTCGCTCCCCCACCCCTCTGCCACCCCTCACAACTGCTTCTAGGATGAGGTGACCTGCCGGGGCCCCCCTGCCCTAAACTCTCCGGAGCCTGGGTGTGGATCGGCCCCTCCTCATGCACTCAGCACCACCCAGGAGAGAAAGGCTACAGGCTCATGAGGGCTGAGGACCAAGGGCCCTGGAAGAAAGTGGCCTTCTTTGGGTCCAGCGTTGCCCTGCATGCTCACATGTCCTGGGCCACCCTTGTGCATTTGTGCCCTAGTCACCTGCCCGTCACCCTGGAAGGGCACCCTCCTTGGGCTGTATATTTACAAAGTGCAGGATGGTTGTTATTGTTCTAGATAAATGTCTGAAAATGCCTAACTGAATGAACTCTGTGCATTAAAAAAATGGAGCACTTGAGCTGTTTTTTGTCAAGTTTGCAAGCTCTCCTGTGGTGAAAGAGGCCAGCCCTACAGGGACAACACTGTAGGTATTTGCTCTTTGAGGCTTTGGGTCTCAGGGTCTCTACAGAAGTGACGAGGCCATGGCCTGCCAGGAAAGAGGAAAGGCTCCAGCTCTGCCTTCTGTAGCCTGTGTTCAAACACGTGGGGACTCACCTGGTGCTGCCTCATCAGCTCCCAGAATGACGCCCAGGCCTGATGCCAGGGGCACGTGCACACACGCACATACACACACACACACACACACAGGCTCTTCTGACATCTGTCTGGGGTGTCCCCTCTTCAAGGTCATGTCTGGGTAAAAAGCAAGCTGCATATGCTAGGACTGGGGGCAAAGGACAGAGCCCAGCCCACTGGTCCCAGGGTCCGCGTGCGACCCGTAGGCGCTGCACCCACACAGGAAGTGCAGGTGTTCTACAGAGACCAGCTGAAACGTGATATCATAATAAAAACCTCATTTAAAGTACTTCTTTTTTTTTATTGATTTCATTGAAAACAGAACAAGAAATGGTCTGAGCCAAAAGATTGCTCTTAAAACTGTCAAAAACATTTTAACAGAAAAAAATAAACATGACTGCATTATGAATGTTTTAGAAGAGTCGCACAAAAAAAACCCCACTGTTACTGCACTAATTACAGTATTTAAAAAGGTATATGCCAAAAAAAAGTATATGACTTGCCAAGCCATCACTCAAAAGGTGATGGCAAATTTATTCACACTACAAGACTAACATTTTTAAAAAAGTTTTTTTTTCCTGCATTTTATTCTAAAATCACTTTGTTCTCTTTATACAGTTGATAGTTTATTTTCACGTGGTGAGTAGAAACCACACCAGAATCAGCACCGTTATCTGTGTTTTGTGTTTTTTTATTTTTTTCTTTGTCCTAATGTTCAGTAATGGTAGAAAATAAATCAGTTTATTCATCATCATAGCATGTGGTTTAAAAATCAACAGAAGGTGCCAGCATCAACGGAACTGGAGAGGGGCCAGTGCAGGATTGGCCTGCACCCACCAAACCGCTTCCTCACAAACGCCAGTCAGAGGTTTGATATATAGGAAGGACTAGATACAGGATTTCTTTAAAAAGCAAACCCACATTTTCTCCAAAGTTAGTGGCAGGTCGGTCCCTGACCTTCTCTCCAAGACCGTGATGGGAGACGGTGTCCCCTGCATGGCACCCGCAGGCCGTGGTGGGTGGGTTTAACGGAGCAGCTTGTGGTGCCGGTGGCTTTGTCAGGTGCCACACAGGAGTCTGGGCTGGACAAGAGGACAGACGAACCCAGAGGTGGAGCAGGGACCGCAGAGATCAGAGGAATGAGAAACTTCGCAACGACAAAACCACCACCAGAAACTCACAAGGTTACGCCGACATGGAATCCCCAGTCTTCTGGGGCACATGGCAGTACAGGGTCCACTCCAGCCTGAGCACTGGGCCTGGCTGTGAGGCTGCAGGCGTGGGAATGTCACTGGGAGGCATTCACACCCGCCCATAGGCCGCCAGGCCGAGGACCTGCGGCCTCACTTCTGGCCCCTCCAGGAAGTCGGTGGCACAGCCCCTCACCAGGCCATCTCAGACATCACGTGCAGAGTTTCTCCTCTCTAAGCGCAATGCCAACAGTACCGAATCCCGGCATCCCCCTGGCCCAGATGCATCTCATAGGGGGTCAGCGGCAGCGGCAGAGCTGGTGTCCGGCAGGCCATCCTCCTGGGCCTCCTGGCTGGCACTGGCCTGCCGCTGGGCCAGGGCAGCGCTCGAGTGCCGGCACTTGGAGGAGCCGCATCGGCAGCTGAACAGTTTGCCTTTGATGTCCCAGAAGCGCTCTCCATAATCAAACCTGGGGAGAAAAGAATTCAGGTGAAGTCAAATCGCACCAGCACCTCCCACAGCCAGACACATATTAAGCCAAGGCTAAAGCTTCCTCGCCCTGGTCTAGATTGTTATTTTCTACTTTAGAAATACAAAAAAATTAGGGTAAACCCGCATCCAAGCAGCGCGTGTGTGCAACCAGGGAAGTGACACCCGTGCCTGGCCCTGCCAGGCCCGGCAGGCACCACATACCCCAGCTGCTCTCCAGCCATAATCAGGCGGGTGCTGAAGAACGCGATCCTGGGAAACCGCAGGTCCTGGTGGGACATGAAAACACGCACGGGCACGAGGTTGGGCTCGCAGTGGTGGTTTATGAACCGGCTGACGTTCCCGTAGAACCGAGCATCGATGCAGTACACCTCTCCATCCTAGAGGGCGAGAAAACGAGAACACACGCCCACGAGAGGCTGCAGCCGCACAGGGGGCGCTCCAGGACATACCGACCTTAGCGCCGGGCGGGCACTGCCATGCCTAAGGGAACTCCTGTGACCTACGGGGACAATGTGGGGCCTCCTCTGGCCTCCCTGCTGCAGCAGGCTCAGCAGAGTGGGGCCTCCAAGCTGTGGCTGCAGACACCACACGCTCCAGACCCTGCCCTCCGCAGGTGGCCAGGACCAAGTGGGTCCAAAGCAGGCACAGCACTGTGGGGAAGCGGAGGGGTGGCACAGCCGTTCCCTGGACAGCATCCTCATGGGGCTTCCAGTCTGGTGGGGAAAACAACCCCGAAGTCAAACAACTGATGTGGATGGCATCATCAAATCCAATGCCTCTGAGGCCATTTAGCACCACCAGGAAAAAAGAGGCCGGGGCCACAAGAACCACATGCAGGCGGCGCCAACAGCCGAAGCAGCTCTAGAAGGACAGAGCTGGCAACCAGGACACACTGTCCTGCGAGAACCACCAGGCCAGGCAGCTCCCTCAGAAGACTGGTCATGAATGAAGAAGAGCTGAGTCCTAGGAGGAGCTGGGGACCCGGGCCTGCCAGGTGGGAGGGGGTGCGGAGGCAGGGGCTGCTCACATGGGATCCCTGAAAGGACTAAGGAGAAACAACCCCTGCTTGGCCCTGCAGAGTGGTGGACGGCCATGAGACACTGACTCCCACGATGCCAGAGACCCAGGTGTCCTGCTAACCCCAGTGGGCACAGAGAGGAGCCCAGGGTTGCCCCTGGCATTGCTCCTGTGATGATGCTCTATGGAGGAAGGCATTCCGAGCTGCCTGTGGGATACAGAGATAAGCTGGATAGGCTGCCCTAACCACAAGGGCCCTTTAAAAGCAGAGTTTTCTCTGGAGGGACTCAGAGTGCAAGAACCTGCTGCTGGCCTGGATGGAGGGCTGCGTGGCAAGGAAAGCAGGGGCCCTGGCCAGCAGCCAGCAAGAACACTGGACACTGTCCCACATGACTGCAGGAGCCGGGTTCTGCAACACCTCACATGAGCTGGACAGGGATCTTCCCCAGAGCCTCCAGGTGGAGCTGGGCCTGGCCACACCGGAGACCTGGCCTGCACAACTAGAGCCAGTCTGCGGGTCTTCAGCTGCTACATTTGTGGTTTGACTTGCTACGTGACAACAGGAAACAAATGCAAAGTCTGAGAGAGGAAAAGCCAGGTAAACTGTAACGAGTCATGTGATGAGGATTTTCCAGGACCTGCGTGCCAGGGAGGGCGGGGCCTGCACACAGACACCTGGTCACGCCATTATGAGCATTAATCAGGAGACCCAAAGATACTCAGAGATCAAGAAAAGTTAGAAGCCCAAACCAACAAAAGGGCAAAGCTTGGACGAGAGGCAGATCTTCTCAGACAAGCTTCACAGTGCAACTTTGGGGAGAAGAGCAAGAAGCCCAGAGTCCAGACGAGTCAGAGATGCAGACATGGACAAACACCTCCTATAAACATCCCCACAAGAACAGACACCCTCAGATGCCGCTGTGGTTGTGGAGCTCAGCAACAACTACCAAAATCAAAGACGCAGCAACCCCACTTCTTGGATCTTCCCCCCAAAGACACAAAAGTCCAAAGGAACTCACACAGCATGGATTTTGGCTTTTGCTACTGGTATGAAGGACTAAGAATCTTTAGGTGACCCTCGTCCCTGCAGAAAGCAGCTCCAAAACTAGAAACAATACAAACCTGAAGATGCTGGGGAGTAATAAAAGAGACTTTGGAGGGAGGAGCCAGGCCCGTGTCTGCCTGGACTTAACCCGGGCTCCAGCCTGTCCTGCCAGAGCACACAGGGCTGGAAGAAGGATCCCCGGTGCTTCTGAGGTGGTGGCTGTCAAAGTCTATGTACACAAATCTCTGACTGACCCTGACCCAGACCAAAAGCAGCTGTAAAAGACCCGAAGACAGACAGGGACCCTGACGGCAACAGACAAGTGGGACAAAGACAAGAGATGCAGGGCTTACAACAGAAGCCCAGCCAATAAACACGACAAAGGAGACCACACACACACCGGAGGGGATCAGAACTCTCCCCAAAGGTTAACATTGACAATCCAACGGCCTGACATGAAAATCTGAGAAAATGGACACATTCTAAGGAGAGAAGAAAAGCAGCTGAGTCCAGCCCCGAGATGAACCAGACGTTGGACTAACGTGAGAATTTTTAAAGCTATTAAGATTAGCCTCGGGCCGGCCCGGTGGCGCACTCGGTAGGGTTCGGATCCCATATAGAGACTGGTCCGCTCACTGGTTGAGCGCGGTGCGGGCACGACACTGAGGGTTGCGATCCCGTTGCCAGTCGCAGTACGGGTGCGACACCAAGGGTTGCAATCCTGTTACCGGTCACGAAAAAAAGGGGAAAAAAAAAAAAAAAAGGTTAGCCTCACTGAAGTAAAATAAAGCATGTTTTCAGTGCAAGAAAATCTCAGAGAAATGAGATGGGTGCGACACCAAGGGTTGCAATCCTGTTACCGGTCACGAAAAAAAGGGGAAAAAAAAAAAAAAAAGATTAGCCTCACTGAAGTAAAATAAAGCATGTTTTCAGTGCAAGAAAATCTCAGAGAAATGAGAAGTCTCAGCAGAGAAACAGAAATAAAAAAAAAAAAAACAAATGAAAATTCTGAATCGAAATTCGATGGCTGTTAAATCCACCACTGGATGCATGAACGGAGGCTCGGAGACCTGGCTGATGACAGGAAATGGTCAAACAAAATGACTCACGCAATTACTCACTGGGACCCAAATGAAAATTCTGAATCGAAATTCGATGGCTGTTAAATCCACCACTGGATGCATGAACGGAGGCTCAGAGACCTGGCTGATGACAGGAAATGGTCAAACAAAATGACTCACGCAATTACTCACTGGGACCTTATTTCCAAATAACAGCAAAGAAAGAAATCAACCTGAATGTCCAGAAAGAAAGAGGAAGTCGTCTCTATGCTAATAGTAAACTGACAACGAACAGGTGTCAAGTGAGAAACGTAGCGATAGTACCACCTCTTGAGTGATGAGGGAGAGGAAGTTAAGAAATACACAAAAGGACTTTCTCAGTTCTACAAACGGTTACCTGCTGGGGCGGGGGCAGGTGCCATACTGGAATGTGTGTCTCTCCCAGATTCCTATGTTGAAATCCTGACTCTCAAGGTTACAGTGTTAGGAGGTAGGGCCTTGGGGAGGTGATTAGGTTGTAAAGGTGGAGCCCTCATAGAAGGGACCCCAGAGAGCCACCTTGTCCCTTCCCCCTTGAGAGGACGCAGGGAACCTGAAAGCCGGGCTCTCACCAGACGCCCAATCCGCCGGCGCCTTGATCTTGGACCTCCAGCCCCAGACTGTGAGAAATACCTTTGTTGTTCATAAGCCTCCCAGTGTGTGGCTTTTTGCTATAGCAGCCTGAATGGACACAGAGAGCAGGCAATCAAATACGGAGAACACGGACAGAAGCAAGACTTTTCTCAGGATGGCCTTTTCACATAATTTTTACTTTTAAAGCATGTAAATATTTAACATAATCAAAAAACAAAATTGAATTTTAAATCCTAAAATTTAAAATAAACTAAAACAAATTAATATAACTGCATATCAAATTGGAATACAACTACACAGAAAAACAATTATTTCAAGTACTGAAAAACACAGCACTTTGTACAGCCTTAGTGGGATACATTCTAAGAACCAAAACATTGCAAAACATTTTTGAAAAGTCATTCAATAGCTGTACTGTACTTATCGTTATCAGGACATCAGTAATATTACAAGTGCTATTTCGAAACTAAAGTTTTTAGGAACCGAGATTTTCACTGTAAGAGACACAAGTATAAAATCAAAGAAGTTGGGTAAAAACCCTGTACTGTTACATTTGAATTGGAAATGTTACATGAACATGTTGAAAAACACTTTTTGCAAAAAACTGTGCTGTGAGGCATGGGTCTGGAGCCCACGGCACCCGGCAGCTGTGAGACCCTGGCATCTGAACATCACCTCCCCTAAGAGGACAGGGCTTCTGGAGACATGGTGGACCCATGTCTGGGCAGGGAACAGGTGAGGGGAGCCTGGGCTGTCTCGTGTCACTGGAGAAGGCAGAGGCTGGCCAAACGGGCTCCCGCTGGCCAGAGAGGAAACAGCGCGAGCATCAAAGAAGAACGGCTACAGCTGACCCCAACACACCAAGTATAAACAACTCACGAGCCCACAGTAACACCCAGAGCAAAGGAGAGCAGAATTCCTTCACCACCAGTAGTTTTATGCCACCTCCTTACTCTGAAAATCGGTAACTGAAGGGCAGAAATGAAGCATTGATCCCACCTTTCCACAGGGGCAGCCGAAAGGTCAGGTTTCAGGGGGAAAGGTTTCTTTGTCCTTTTAAAACAGAAGAATTTCTGTTGAGAAAAGGGGAAGGCATGACAGATGCCAGCAACGGGCAGGACTGAGGTCATCGAGGTGCTGAGGTGGACACCATGACACTCCAATGGGATGCGAGCAGAGGCGTGTGGTGTCACTAAGCCCCAGCCCTTTGTCCAGCCAGCGGGAAACTCAGGGACAGAGAATGATGAGGGATAGCACGAGGGACAGACGCACCTGCACAGCGGGGTTTCTGCAGGACAGCGCTGGCCTCCTCAGTGGACGACCGTGTGAGGGGCAGGAGCGCCACGAGGTGCCAGGCAGCCCCCACTCGACTCCTGGGTGGGCAAACCAGCGGAAAAGCATTTTGTGAAAAGTAGGCAAATTTGCAAAAGAACTGGATGTCAGATGACGCCAACCCTGTCAGGTATGATAATGACACTGTGGTTGTTCGTGAAAACATCGCCACTTGCAGGCAGACACGAACGTAATTAAGGGTGAAATGTCATGTTTGTAATTACGTCACATCAGCAAAAAAATGGATGAAGCAAATCAAAGCAGGGTACACTGTCAGTGACCACACATC